AAATTTGTTAGTTCGGTCTGAGAAAAAGTATTTTTGAGTTTTTTGTTTAAAACTTATCGTCGCTACCTCCCGTCCTAAATCGCGATATGAATCTCCCCTGAAAGTATATTCAATCCATGTTGCCGACATAAATTTCTCCTTAGTACAATCAACTCGGAAAACCATTTTTGATATATGCTTTATTAGTAACACGTATGCCCAATTTTTTTTAAGGTGGGACATGGTCGCAGCAACGAGAAGAGCCGAATACTTTCTGTAGATGCGCGGACCATGCCTGACGCAGCCATCAGGATAGAGCAAAATAACTCCGCCTTTTTATGGTCTATTAGTCCAAGTATGAAACTATGCGAGAATTGCGTGGAGGGCTAGCGACTCGCTTAGCGTTTGGTGGCAACAGTTATGGGGCGCATACTGAAATCCACTAGCATGGAGCATGATTTAGTCGATATGCCGGTATCAAAATTGCCCACCCAATTAATGTTGCTTCATAGCTCGGCTCTAAAGTTTGATGAGTGGTCTACGTATGGGTCATGTTCGGTTCATGACTTAAACAAAGGGCGAAATGAACGTGGCAAATTTAATAATTTATACTGCCGAGTACGATATTTTCTTCCGTAGCTTTTCTAGAAGCTCGCACTTCTATGTTGTGCCGAGAATCACTCGGCTTCCACAGTGGTATTATTTTGCAAGCAACAGTGATAAGTTTCTTAGGATCCATCATTATAGATCCGATGCCCCTAAGCTACTAACAATTTTATTCATGTTCAATCCTGAGCGTTGTCTCCGCGGGACTGTTTAGCCTTGAATCTATTTTACTTCATCATCAGCTTTGTGAGATTTTGTCAAATAGAAATGTTGATTACAATATTCAAATAGCCACTTTATCGAGTTTCATGTGAAATTTTATCTCTCACATGCAACATTAACCATTAGACATTTGAGAACCCCCTTCCCGGGCATAAAAAAGCTCCTCTTGAACTCAATAGCTTTTAACTTTTATGAATATACAGGCTTATGCCTACCTTTAATTTACAAATTGCGGCGTAACACATGTCGGTCACAAAAAGCAAATTCACTTATTCCAGTAAGGTTGGCTCCTTCAAACATGCTTCCAAGTGCCTAGATGCATGAATCCATTCTTACGAAGATCACTCGCCTCTTTATCCTTCCAAAATAGATATGGAGTTTTTTATGCAATATCACGATGGTTTATATCTGCAAAAGATGCATAGATAAAATTTTACACCTTGGTGTGGGCTACAATTTTATAATGATATTTTTAAGAGTTATAGTCTGAAATGTTTATGTTAAGGTTCCTACTAATATAAAAAAATACCAGATAGGGCAGGGCATATTTAAACTCAATTTCAGAGCATTTACACATTATACATACTTGTAGCCTGACACCATGCAATCCAACGTCTAACAATGATTTGTGAACAGCCATCTCCGACATCAACAATGAAGTGGCACTTCGGATACAATGTTTCTTATCCAACATCTCATAAAGTTTGTGAGAACGAACCACATCTGAAAAAATTGCGATAAGTATATATAAATATGAATATGCAGTGTTTAAAACTTTTGTAACTTACCAGCTTCATCAAGGAACAGCTTTGTTGTAAGCTGTTAGGCAAATATATATAAATATACATCCATTTGCATTAAATTCTTGATTTTAGATCATTAATACCAGATATGGGACTTTAAGATACCACAGCCTGACGAATTTGTTCAATGTAGGAAATTATTATTGAATGATCAACAATATTTGCACGAAAAAATCCTTCGGCATTTGATTCATCTGTCAAATAACCTAACATAACAATTGACTTCTGATTGACAGCAGACTAGAAATGTAAAGCAGGACATACATGTACCTTAACGAAGAAGACGTAATATTATCGAAATTAAGAAGGCCATAAACGCGTCCTACAATTGTAGGGACGACTGACGATACGGACCTAAAATGTTGCATTTTTACGGATTATAAGCGCGCGAAATAGCCATTCAAAATTTAAAGGGAACCATGTTGAGATGGCTAAGTGAAACATCTGCGAATTTGAGTTCCAACCACAAACCATGAGAAAAAACCTAGATAAAAAACATGAGCCATCGGTAAGGTAGGAGAATATCAACTGGATCTTTCCTTCAAGGATATTTAACCAAACTGGGTTACAGTCCACAGAAGAACTAGAAAGGCAATCGTTGTTTAATTTCATCTAAGGCTGATTTCTTTACCTTTCTTTTGTAATCGTTTGTGTAGTACTGAGGCTTTCTCCTGTTTGATATATGTCCTGTGTCCCACACATTTTCTTAGTGCTGATTTTAAGGTTTTTCTCCTTGTAAATTCTACATTTAACAGGTTCTGATGTTTCACCGATGTAGCAGTCACAGTCTATTTCATATAACTGGTTCTTTGTGCCTATATTTTCATGAGTAGGTTTTGCGTGGCAGTTATTTGATTTAAAGATACTTCTGATACTACGCTTTTTGCAAATACCTCTTTCAGATAAGACTCTTACGTATTGTCTACAGAGCGTAATCGTTGCGGCTGGTAGATCTCTTGGGGGTATAGGTGGAAAGTCAGGACATGGAATTTGATATTTAACAAATTTGAAATGGAAAATGTAACCCATCTGATGATATTTGTTTGGCTCTGTCAAATTAACATTTTATTACACCTTCCCTTGTACAGCTTGCGCGATTTCATTCAAAATAATAATAATAATAATAATAATATTTATTCACTCAATGTACAAAGATAACAAACAATATGAGTAAATAAATATAAAATCAAAACAGGCCCAATAAAAGGCATCGCCTGTACATGGACCAATAATTTAAGTTGAAACTGTAGAATGCAAATGACAAAAAAGGACAAAAATTAGCTACAGTAAATTATGTATTTAGTTGATGTTCGTATTTATGAGTTTATGAATTTCAGTCCTAGATATAGAATGTAGCCACTTTTTTAAATTTCTTTTGAAACAATTTTCGAAACGTAAATCTTTTAAGTCTTTAGGTATAATTTCATAAAATGCAGATATCCATTGTATATATTGGTTTTCTGTATACTGAAGTAACAAAGGAACCAGTATGTCTTTCATCAGACATATCTAGGAAATAAAGGAAACTGTTTTATTCAATTTCAATTGTAAAACTAATCCCGAGTTTTTCAGTGTTTATTTGATTCAAAAGGTTACCTAAACCCTCAATAGTGCAAGTCCATACTGCACAAAAGTTCGTATACGTATCGCCACCACACTATTGGTTTTGTTGTGTTATTATACATGCAGTTTCTTTCAAATTATTCTTGCGAAATACTACTCAATACAGGATTGAGTGTCGAATCCATTGCCATAACGAAATTCTCTTCATAAATTTTTCATGCAACTAGGGGGCTAGACGTCGTTTTAAGCGCGGTAATACCTACACCAGGCGATCCTGGGCTATGACTTTTTTGCGTGGTGAATCTTCAAATTTGAAAAGATGGCTTAGCGCAATCTCAGCATGTTACGTACCTTCCAGACTATTGTAGTGACACACTATAGGAATGTGAAAAACAAATGAAGAGTCTTCTGGAAGAAAAATAAAGTATTACCAAAAAGTGTCAATGTACTGAAGAAGGTCGCCGTAGTGAACAATAAAGAAGAGTTTTAAACACGTGTGGTTTGATTGGCCTGGCAAAGATGGTTGATTATCAACATGAAAACCACAGGATAAGTTATCATTAAATTTGTGATAAAATCGGCCTGAGACTTCCAATGGCATCACGGTAACACTTTTACTTCTCATACGGCATAAGACCCAAATTCCACACCCAAACCATTGGAAACGGACCCAAACGAAACCGATAACGCGCGCTTCAATGTCGCTCACGTACCGCCCTCATTTTCATCCTTTTGTCTTTACTGTTTCCGTCACAGAAGGTATATAACCATCCAAATTCAAATCAGCTACTCATTCAACCGCTAATTACCGCGCAAAATGGTCGTTCGGTTATTTTTTGTCGCCACAGCGGTCATTTTGGTGGCGAGGGCTCAAGCAACCCCATCAGCTGTTGAGCTAGTACAGGATATTTACGGTGGGTGCTTGAGAGACCTAGATGTCAGCTGTGTGAAACCAAAAGCTCTGCAGTGGATAACTGATGTATCTGATAGTAAGGAGATCAAGGTCACTGAAGACCTGTCCATTGTGAGGAAGGATGCACCTAGGGAGCAGGATGAGGATGAGGTGTGTAGTGATTAGACTTCTACGTTATTCTGCTCATACTATTAGAGCTCACTTTCATGACAGAATAATTTTCAATCCGATTTTTTCCATACTTACGTTTATTGGATGCTCCTTATCATGAATCCATAGGTTGCCGGGCGTCACACTGATGCAAATTGCTTTAAGTACTTTTTTCAAACAATTCGCAGTGAGTGAGAGTGAGAAATTTACCGTTTCCGAGTTATAAGCGACTTAAAGTTTGCGCAATCCTTAAAGTGGTACTTCTAGATATCCAAAAACTGGATTTCATCAGGGTTGTCTTTTTTAAAGTATGGGTTGAAATGACAAGGGGTGATTTCTACTTATGAGATCCCATTTGGCCCAAAAAACATGAAGTTCTACTATTCGGGGTCTTGTACGGTAAGCCAGCACCAAAAATAATTTTTAGTTAAGCTTCAGAGTACTGAAAATTGCCATCCTTAGGATTTTTCAGACCAGGACATTTTTTGATCGGGGTGATAAAAAACATTGTTTAAACGAAATTATACCGGGCTACAACACGGCAGCTTCTTGATTTATGTAAAGGAACATCAACAGAAGAGATAGGCTCGGTATACAATACTGCATCCTAAATGTGGGACAAAAACTTAATCGAAATGGAAATGAAGAAGCTTTTAGATAAATGACAAGTCATGAAAAACAGCCACACGCATTTGACGCAGCTTTATTGATTATACGTATATAATAATTAAATGTATGTATATTATTATTGTTTGTGCAATATGATGCATCATCACTCTCGTCTTTTCATACTTGTAATATATTTTTTCCAGGAAGAGCGAGGGTTCTCCGAAGATATTTTCGACAAATTTGATGATTTTCTCCAGACCCATGATCTAGTAGCTAAAGCCCCAACTATATTGAAAAAGACTGGACCACTTGCGTCGCTGGTTCCCAGGTCTTTTGAAGCTCAAGATCTGAAAGTACCATTAGCTGTGACAGGTTGAGTATCTCCGTATATTCAGTAGATAGCTAAGGCTTTTTCAAAGGCATAATTTCTGTTTTGGTCATTGTGCGAGGTGAGGACGGTATATTGCTTGTAAGCTGAAAGGTCAACAGAGATTATGCGTTTCTTAAGAGCTCGAAACCATGATATAGTAACATATTTTGTTCTAGGTCGGTCTTCAAAGTTGGTGAAAAAGGTAATAGTACCTTTCCTTTTGGGATTGAAATTCAAAACTGCAGTGCTTGTGCCTCTTGCCCTAGCTTTAATAGCCCTTAAGACGTGGAAAGCCTTGACGTTGGGCCTTCTGTCGTTGGTACTCACAGGAGCTCTGGTCATATTCAGATTCACCAAGCCAAAGGTACGTGACTCACATAATTATTCAGCATCTAACAGTAACTGCAAGTGTTTTTGGTATTCGTTTAGTATGTTGTGCTAAAGTAATCTAGTAAACACTTATAGTATTAATAAATACTTCAGCATCAGAACTGTGATAAACCATGTAACATTTAAGTACCTCATATATTTGATAAATGACTTATTGCAGTTGGTAAACTACGAAGTCGTTCACTACCCACAGCATGTAGATCATCACGTCGAGCATGCTGCTCCACTGACCAGTGGTTGGGAGCATCCTGGATTCGGACGGCAACTTGACGGAAACGATTTGGCATACACTGCGTACAGAAATGAATGATTAGAATAAGAATTAAATTATTTTGAGACCGTTTTGTAAATACTGTGTATTTATATTTAATAAAACCAAAGATCTTCTATTACTCTTTTAAGTATGATACAAAGTAAATCAGATAATACCAACCTGCCATGATTCTCCCCTTAAGAAGCTGATCAGGAAAATGAGTGGGTATTAGGTACTGATAAACAAAAAAAAAATAGTGTCAAGCAGGTTGCCTCTGCACATCGTCATCAGTTCATAAAGGATTAAGTTCAGCGCAATTTAAATCCTCTGAGAAGAAAGTCAATTACGAACATGTGCAACAGAGAAATTAAACAGATTAAGTCAGTCAATCAGGCGCATGCAATTTGTCCATAGACGTTCTGTTTCTGCTCTGCCGGTAGTAGCGCGGTGAGCCGGATATGTGGAGTAGGAACGTTTCTCTATCATTGTCTTCAAGGGCAAATGTAAGGGTAAACCTATGATGTGTGCGGACAGGTTCATATAATTGCCAGGGTTAAGAGTGTATTAATATACTAAGATCCAAACATTTTCATATGTTCTTCCCCACTCCCGGATTTCAACCCACACAAAAATTTTTCTGAAAATGATCAGCTTCTTCTTAAACGCCAAAATACGAATCATGAGCGATTTTCAACTTTTAGTTTTTGGGTTTCTCTCCGCCGCCGTAAAGCTATATTGCTTTTTCGACCTTTGCCTATTAGCAATCTGGTTCAAAAATTTCATCAGAATCTAAGTGGTGGTTCTCAATTTAAAGGCAGGATAGTTTAGTTTTTATTTTATTTTTGCTCCATAATGTACAATGTAACATCCAAATAACAAAATATCTCATTTTAGAAAATTTTCGCGGTTCCATGACACTTCCGAAAGTAAGCGTGGGACGTAAAACATCCGTTACATATATTTTTGAGAAATTGCTTTTTTATTTTTCCTAGTTTTACCGTCTGTTAATAATTCAAATAGCGAATAAAGCGGTGGGGGGGGGGGGGGGCTGATGGTCCGTGGACAATAACACATCCTTGTGAGCGTTAGGGGGGGGGGCGTCGGCGGCGGCAAAGAGTCTAAAGCCTTGGGGATGCTGAATTGATTTTTAGGGCGATGTAATGCACAATCTTTGTCCCACGATTCAGACGAACGACACCTCCGCTGGTACCCTCCCCTCAAGTCGGACGGATGGACCGACGTTTTCCTGAGTATACTATTTCTACTTCTGACACAAGTATTATGTGGGCCAAAAATAGCCTAAGTGGATCCCCGGATGCCAAGATCAAATTGGCACTGTATCAGCAAAACGCTAACAGATTGTGACAATATACTGAATAATACGAGTATGATAATTAATTTTTATGAAGTGGGTAGCAATATGAGTTACATTTTCTGAATTTTCACTTTTTCCCTGAAAGTCATGGTACCGTAAAGTCAAGATGATCGCTGCCATCAAAGGTATTAAAGCAGATACCAAGGAAGTTGAGACATAAACACGACATCAGACTACTGCTAGATGTTGATGAGGTGAACCGGAGATAAAACGGACGGAAAACAGATTGAATAGGAATTTTACATTTAGAAATATTTTGACTACTACTTTTAGATAACAATTAGTTTCATATTCAATACTTTGCAAGGGAAAATACTGAACCAACGTATCACGGATTCATTTAATATGAAACATGGCCATTAATCATTCTAAAGCAGTCCAATACTACTCACATCATACAACTTAAACTTAAAAAATTGATTGTAACTGATATAGCAAGCAAAATACCTCAAAATTACGTTAGAGCTCTCTTTATTGAGCAATCGGAAACAAACAACTAGACTCTTTTGATAGTGTCTTCTTACACTTAAAAAACTACTTTTGAAAATAACAATTAATTTTCTTCTACGACCTTTATATTATGAAATCTTTCAGAGTTATTAAGTTGTTGATAGTTTTATCTCGGTTTATCTCAACCATATCTTGAAAATATTCGTATATAATTTATTGGCAACCGCAGATATTTGAAAAGCGGACAGCTCCAGCTTTAATTAAAAATCGTAAAAATTTCGTAATATAAGAATGTAAGAAGTGTTCTCATTTTTCAGCTATTCTTAGACGTATCTAGCGAATTAAAAGCCAACCTTATAGCAAACCACCAGTAACGATAGAATATCCGTTACTGGGTAATCTCCAAAGGATCCAGCCGATTAGCGACATCTAGTCTACAGGGTGTCCAGAAGTGTCCAGAAGAAGTTGAAATTTTAATGGAAAGCCGTTCGCACGTCTGTAGTGTGAGTCAAGCATGATCACTGTGGCCGAATGGCATTTTGCGACCTGGAGACAAAAAATACATGATTGATGATTTACATTAGATTTATTAACGTTATGCGTTAATCTCCGCACATATCCTAAATTCTTGATTAAAGAAACTTTTTAACCTGCAAGAACAACCAATCAAATGCTCGAGGCTTGTTACCTCTCAGCTTGGTACCCAAAGTCTTCAAAGCAATCTCAATATGAAAATTAGTGGTTTCAGGGGTCCAGCGATGTAGGTGGCGATCGAATATAGCCGAGGTGCCAGACTGACCTTTAAAATGTTGAATGTTTGTGATTGAATTGGCCACGGTCAAGCCGATTGTGATGTGACGAAGTAGTATAAGCTTGCACCAAAATACTCAGAACTGAGTATTCTATCCTTAACAGCATCATTTTTCACTTAAAATGTAGAGAAGCTCATATGAAGTTATTATAAAGTCTGAACTTTAAAGAAAAGCCATTTCTGACCATGCAGACCGAATTTCTGATCGATTCAGATTAGGCAGATTCAAGTAACAAGATCCTGGTGTGCATGCGATATGTTTCAAGCGCTAGATCTACCTTTATGTATATCACTTGAACTTCATGAGGATGGTGTGTTCGGCTACAACCACATAGGAACCAGATGCTTCTCGAATATTGCTTTATTGACTGAGGAATTTAAAAGGCTAAGCAGTCGGTTGCGGTTCCTTCTCTGACCCTTACGTAGGTAGCTGGAAATTTTCAGTAGTTTAAACTTTCAGGTAGGTGTAAACAAGGCAAACAAAAATGTAACTCCTGAAACTTAGCCTGTGATCTTCAAGATCATAATCACCAATCGAGTATTCTTATCAGGCGAAGTAGAGATATGATTGACTATAAAAACTAGTTGGGGCCACTGCCTCTCGGGTGTCATCTCTTGCCGTTCTGCTCTGTGCGAGGACCAGGTGAGCTCTGCAGTGTCAAATAAATACCACTTCTTCACACCTTCATATTCAATAGCGTTTGTATGTACTTCTACTTTTCAACATTATCGCACCTCCCTGTCGCAGTATCAAGCAAGGGTGCTCTGCCAGGAGTAAAACTATTCCCCAAGTCATAATCCGGACAATATATGTATCTTTCCTGGGAAGATCATACCCGCCGGATCACCACTGTAGCCACTAGGTCGATTCGGCTCCCATAGAAGATACGGTCTACTCGCCACTGAACAAACTTGTAATATAGCTTTCGTTCGTCCGACCACAGACGACCAACCATGTGCAGCTATTTTACGCTATTTGGCAACTCTTCAATATGGTGTAGTCTTGATCACGGTGAACAACGGGCGAGCGTTTAACAACTATACTTTGTTCAATGGCGAGTAGACCGTATCTACTATTGCGCCAGAACCGGCGGCATCTGGCGGCCACTTTGATAACTGTGATAACAATGCATGCTGATATAATCCCTTGTTTGAAAGCTGGAGCTTACTTTCCATGAATCGCAATCAGAAATTTCCACAATATATAGGCCGAATTGTTGGAAATTACCTAATTTGACCGTTTCTCCAACCAGAAAGGCAGGCAGGCCATAATTATTTCCACTTTCTAAGAAAGGATTTGCCCATATTGTTAGAAGACCTTTAATTAAAAATATGCAGTTCATGCATTACGATGTGCCAGCCAGCTTTGGTATTATAACAAGAGACTATTTGTATTTCAAATTTAATAACCGATGAGTAAGTCGTGGCGGTCCCCAGCCATTCTTTGAACTTTTTCTCATGAGGGAATCTCAAAAGTCTCAAGGATATATGTACTTCAAAAAGTGCGCGACAATATGGGGAAAAATGTATAGCGTGCATGCTTTAAGGTGGAGGGCATTTTCAGTTGCTATCTTTTATTTTTTTACAAATGTTTGACTTAATTTATTAACAGACGATTCCTTATTTTGTTAAAATTATGATATGTAGGTAATGTATTTTCAAATAATAATTGTTTATTGGCTATACTTTGTTGTTCAATAATGTTATGTTACTTCATTAAAAGTGTAAATCTAAAATTATTTTATAAAGAACTGTCTTCTAACAAAATCATTTGCATCCTGTGGTTGTGGCCATTGTTTTTTGATTGAAGACTAGATATTGTTTCGGCACATTTCACAAAAAACAAATATACGTTTTTAACCTACGGCGATCTAATTATCTTAGTCCTAAATGTTATTAAAGGAAAGGCAGTAGCACGCCACTGAGTTGTCTTATAATGACAAAAAATTAAAGCAATTTCTATGCATGGTGATATTGTCAAGTTGACGATATTGTTAAGATGCAGAGAAACGGTTTTTATTTTTTTAAAAGAAAACCGTGCAACGGATTGCAAAAATCGTGCGGTCAAATTCGCTTAGCAATGATTGGGGACTTCAAGAATAATTTGTATCCTAACAGAAATCAGTGGCGTACCATCAATCTCTTCTTCCAAAGTAGGCGGGTAAAATTTCGTACGGACGCCACTGGTGAAGATTAAAAAATGTAATATATTAAAAAATATCTCTTGACACATGTATGTCAAATTTCATTAAACTATCTAACGTGGTATTCCAGTCGTATTGTAATAAGATTATTTATTTTTGAGAATCTTACCATCATGTAAATCGAAAAATCGCCCCCCAGAATATTTTTGTTGTTGTTGTTGTTGTTGGAGAGAACAGTACGCCCTGAACTCTACCACATTTACATTTGACAATCAATATTGGTGTTTGAGATATGCATTTGAGGACTATGCTTGGTTGAAAACAAAATATGGTCATAAATTCCACTGTCTTACTAAATAGAAGTTACATCTATTCCAAACCTTCAAATTTCCAAAAGGGTGATAGCCGATAGCCTTAAATAAATCCCAAAGAAAATAGAAATGCTAAAACAAAATCATAAGTTTATGTAACACCTGAAACTGATCCTGTGGTTTGCATGCATATACTTCGCCATATTTTCTGACCATTACATGAAACTACATATGTAGTCTTTAATAATGTTTCGGCCATCTCGATAGCCTGTTTAAAAGTACGGGTCAAAAAACGTGTCAGGTTGACCTTGCACTTCCCACGCAACGCCATCATGAAGGGTTAGACCCTTTCAGAAAAAAGTAATCCAAAGATGTCCGTACACTTAGTCCATATCACCATAGAATTACCAAGGCTGGGAGCGTATAAATATACTAACATCAAAAAATTGAGAAATACCCTCCTCGCTCCCCTAGCACCCTTCACCCCCAAAATTTTGACCCCTGAAACTTTTTTGAAAAATGATCAGGATTCTCTGAAACATCAAAAACTGAGTTTTCTCTGCCGCCACAGAACCCTTTCCGTCCTTCGCATTGGAAGTAACCTTATATGAAAATTTCATCCATGTCAGATAAGTGCTTTCCAAGCTATATGCGGTCCAAGGATGACGGACAGACCGACAGACAGACGGATCGACGCAAATAAGTGATGATTTTTCGTGATGTAAATGTCATATAACACTCAAAAAACGTATTTCATTTCCAAATATTTTCGCATTGCAATATCTCCTCACCAGAATAAATAATACGAGTATATTGACACTGCGCTTTTGTTGACCTGAGCTTTGAAAAGAGACACTGAGGCGGCTGCAATGTTCGAAAAAACTCAAACCTACATAAATATGCGATTGTCCATTTAACGGTCAGGAAGCATGGAAAATCAAAATCATGTATGTATTCACAAGAACTGCTGCTATACTATCTTTAGCTGAACCAGTTCAAATAATATTGGATAGGTATGCTTATTTTATTAGCCTCGCACCGATACAATTATAAATATTTTTGTTCACTGCACAAACCTATGTAAGCTCTTTAAGATCGCATAAATTATGTTTCATTATAAGAAAATTGTGCTTTACACCACCATTCCACGAAGACAAAACGCCGCTTCATATATCACGATAGCCCAATTTAACCATCACATGTAGCAATTATCCGCATAACTTTTACTTTTATTTTGGCCATAAGTATATTCCAAATGTGTCCCAAACCCAGTTCGTCAAATATGATTTCTACTTCCGCCGCGCGAGCATATAAAACAACGTTTATTTTTTATGTATGGCATTTGCGTCCACGGTACCTACAGTCATTAGCAGTGCCAGCGATACCTTCATTAGCCAGTACCTGACAGCACTCCGATTGGCCAGAATGAAGTTTGCGGCACTTCCATTGCTCGTCTGCTTGATCGCTGGTACTCAAGCCGCACCTTCGGCTGTTGAGCTGGTCCAGGAAATCTACAGGAATTGTTTGAGTCAATTCAGCGTAAGCTGTGTCAAACCAAAGGCATTAGGTTGGGTGGAGCAAGTTGCTGCTAAGAATGAGATCAAGATTACTGAAGACTTGGTGATTGTTAAGAAGTACAATCCAGAAGTGCAGGTAATTGAAGTTGTTGAGCAGAGCATATAGAGACAATAGCATTACTAACAGAAACAAAGAATTTGGGTTCATAAGGGGGCTGTTCGGTCCTGAAAATAACTTGTATTTTAAGTTGTTCGCATTTAGATTTTTGCATTTAAACATTTTAGAACATATGTATTCTAATCATCTTATCAAAATGTTTCTCGTTATTATAGTACTACTCAATTGTTCTTTGTAATTCGAAGTTGTGGAATTCTGGAATTTTTGTCCAATATTTACCCGTCTTAGAATATCCAAGTCAATAGCTTTACACAAGCGGATGGTCGCAATACTTCCACATCAAATAAGTAATTACACACGCAATTTTAATGTGACAAACTTTTTTTTGGTATTCTGAGCCTAGTGCAGTAAACTTTGATTTTCATGTATGTTCTGTCACTCAGTGTGTTCTATTATAGATCTGAAATAGGAAGTGTTCCTACTATCAAAATGCCATAATTTCAAACTTAAAATACATAATATTTCATAGATGAAATTTGAGTTACTTTCAGGGCCAAGAAACCTTCTGATGGACCTTGACCAATAATTAGGAAGTAAGGAGATTATAAAAATTTCAGATTCTGTGAGAGGTTTTGAGAAATGTAGAAATGAAGTTTCTTTTGAAAATCCGTATCAGGATCGAGATTATATTCTCTGGATATTGTATGAAGAAGATACTTCATATTTGTGCGCTTCTCAAGTTCCATATTTTGGGGCGTGGTGGAAAATACTGTCTGAAGACTAAATCCTTCTCAAAGATGCAAATCTACTCTACGTTTTGGTTAAAATAAGAGATATTTTGGAAGTGCCGATCAAGCTTCAACATGGCAACACAGTTTACAGATCCTTCTCAATATTGTTGAATCCGTTCAAGTTCCATATTCATTCCAAAGCATTTAGGGGCAATAGGTTTTTACGCACAGATTATTTACCTTAATAATATATACTGCCAAAGCGGCTGAGGAATTAAGAATCATTAGACTGTTATTGCTTTCATCGAGGCACTGGTATATTAATATGATTTTAGGAAACGAGGGGCTTACAAAAGGATATCTTGGATAGGTTCGAAGACTTCCTTCAGAGCCATGATGTAGTAGCTAAAGCTCCATCGTTCCTTCGACCAGATGGACCATTTGGAAAATATGTACCAAGGTCGTTCCAGCCCAGTGATGTTACTGTTCCCTTGGCAGCCTCTGGTATGTATAAGCTTCGCTCTTTTCTATAAGGATAAATACAAAAAATCTAAAATCTAAATACAATCTATGTTCCTTTCCTTAAATTTGGAGTACCACAGAGAAACACATAAGGCAGTCAGCATTTAGGCATAGACATGGCCATAAGGCCGGATTTGGGAATCTGTCTAGGGGGGGGGGGGGGCGTCGCAGAATTCATGATCAGGAAGACGGTCGTCTCGTGTAGGGGTAGGGTGTGGACGACTGGAAATTCATGAAAAGCAGTGGGGCGCTGGCTGCATGCTGAATCAGCGCTTCTGAGAGCGAGTGCTCTAGTGACAGTTGCGGAGGGTGGGACACGTGTAGGAGGGCCGCACGTCTCCACGACTTATGTCTAACAAGGTGATTTTAGCCCCATGATATGGCAATTTGTATCATTTTATTGTAAAAAACGGCAGGTTTCAACGGCCCCCGCAGCTAAATGCGTATCGATATCTAATCTATCAATGTCCTTTTTTTCAGGTAGATCATCAAAGATTGTCAAGAAGGTGATCATTCCGTTCCTGTTGGGTTTGAAGTTCAAGACTGCAGTTCTAGTACCTCTTGCTCTGGCACTTATCGCATTGAAAACTTGGAAAGCCCTAACGCTTTCTCTGCTTTCACTGGTTCTTACTGGTACCATCTCTGTCTTCTCCAAGTTTGTATCTAAGGTGAGTAGATCGGTTACACCTTAGTTCATGTTTCAAAATAGATCTGAGTTAGGGTTGCATTAAGTTCTAACTTAACGTACAAAGCTAGATATTATTGCTATAAAAGCGGTTGTTACTGGAAGATAGTTATGACAGGACAATGGAGTCCTATTAACATAAATTCACAGAATAAGTTTCAGGTGCTACATTATACGTTAGATTAGGAATCAAATTGATCATCTCGTAGAGAAATACCTTTACTTCAGATTTCTCAGCAATAAAAAATTGGCTCACTGAAGTGCTGCCATCGGTTTATCGAAAGTACTGAAATGATCTAGATTTTTTGATTTATGTTGCATTGAATTATTCAACTCAACTCTCACAGAGAAACTAGGAGCTGCCTTAAGAGATTATTATGTTCTCAGTTGGGCCAAATCTTCTGGGAAGAGTCAGGCTCATACAGTAATTGTGAAGGGGGAGAAGGTATATCTGTTAAACCAGTTAGACACAATTTTGCTAATCTCTTTGATGAGTGACTTATCTCATCAATATCAAAATTCTGTTGTATCAACTTACGCAGATAATATCGCAGTTGTAAGGCCAGCAGATAGAATATTATTGTTCTGAATAGCAATAAAATCGAGCTTATGATTCTCTTTGCAGAAAAAAGGATTGGCTGAATCTTGCTAGTTTCATGGAAGTCTGTAAGGTCAGATGTTGTTTCAGTGAATAAGTTTAAGGCGTTCTTTTTAGATAATAATTTGTACTCAGTTGACGAATATCTGAATCTCATTCGTTTTGTTAACTTATTGTTTGTTTCTATGCAATATAATTGCTTATTATGTACTACTACATTCTTGATTATATTCCAGAATATTATGGAACTAAAGGTACTACCACCGTTACTGCCGTTACCTGTTCTGCCGTTCTCAGTGTTTTCCATATTTTTAGGCCCCAGCATACGAAGTCTTACACTACTCGCAACCTCATGTGGACTACCATCACGTCGACGTTCCAGTGCCTGCTGTAGCTTACGGACACCCTGTATACGCTGGACGAGAGCTGTCGGCTCAGGACATTGCCTACAGTGCTCATGCACAGTGACAGCCTGATTGAGCGCTGTTGTTATTTATTTATTTATTGTTAATAAATGAGGTTAAAGATATCTTTGTGTTTCTCTTCTCTGAAGACTTTATCCAAAAGCAAGATTCATATACCACTAGTAGTATAGACTAGATTGCTTTTCTCCAAGCTTAAAAATATTGAAACACGTAAAAGTAAAAAATATGGGTGCAGATTTGTTATGTCTGAGACTGAACGACCAGAATCCAAAGCATCACAAAGCTACTGACAAAACTAGTCGTTAATCCTGTATTTCAGAAAAAAATGTACGACCACACGAAAAATATTTATGTCCAGAGTGAAACCTAAATCGAAACGCTCTTCTAGACGCAATCTTTTACAAACTCCATTTTCCAATATTTTTTAAGGAAATTCATACAGTATGTTCAGAAGATAATTGCCCAGGGTGCTATAGGAGCACTATTTGAAATTTTGTTTTTGTACAAGTTTTATGATGGGTTGAAGTGCGCACTTTTTCTGTTCAACTTCGCGATTTTTTTAAAAAGAATCTAATGAAAAAAATGAAAAAGTGGCTCTATAGCACCCTGTGAGGTTTTGTTTTCAGCACACTATGAAAATTTCATTGAAAAATATCAAAAAATATAGCGTCAATTTTGAAGTGCGCCAACCTCTACAAATCGTATTTTGGACGAGTTTTGTCTACTGTTTCGTGCTGCCAACCTAAGCGTTGCGGCGCAAAGTACGGACTAAGAAAGGACGTATTCAGATAATTTGGTGGCCCTATTTCACATCGCATAGATAAGTCGTTCTGCAAATAGGTACTCATAATCGCGATCGCTGATACTCCTCGATTTTAAATCCGTTTTACTTACCACGCCAGTGGCGAGGAAGTATTGTAATCGCGAAAAATTTCTAAAATGAGATATTATGTTTTTTTAAGTCATATGACATCTACATCACGGAAAACTATATCACTCATCATCAACTTGGATTTTTATGAAATTTCCACACGGGTTTACTAATATGCCAAAGCTTTGGAGTTTTAGTCCAATGGCAAGGGTGCTATAGGCAAAAAAGAAAAAGTAACAATTGCTGCGTTTTTGACGTTACAGGGGTTCCTCATTGACATAAAAAAGTGGTACTGCTTAAAAAGTGGGAGTTGGGGGAAGGTGATTCTAAATGTTGCATCTTTGATATCAGTGAAACACGTTCTATTATTAATAAGCTTCTGGTCCCAGTGATTACAGGAAATTTAAGTAACGAAAATCCGACGAATAATGTGCTCACGATTTGAAAAATTCGGTACCTGCTCTATAGGTTTGACACTAAGAGCCAACAGATCTATCTACCGACAGTAGGGAAGAATGAATTCGGATATCACTCCAGACAAGTATAGGGGAATTTAGCGTGGAAATTTAAAATTATCGATATGTCAAGGAAATCTGTTTTTGAGAACGATAATTTGGTAGATTTTATACCTGCATTTTCATTTGAATTTCATGACCCGTGAAATGTACCCATTTCGCAGTTACCTTCAATTTGTGTTCTGCAGTTTGTGATGTTTTTGTGGATATAAGCAGGACATAATTGCCTAAGGTGCTATCAGAGCTTTTTACAAAATTTTGTCTTTGTGTAAGAGTTATAGTGGGTTGAAATGCTTAGTATCTATGCTCAACTTCTTGACATTTTAAAAAGATCCTAGTGGATAAAATCGAAAAAGTGGATCGTTAGTACCCTGTGGACTTTGCAGCAAGAGTTTTATTTGGAAATAATAAAAAAATTAAACGTACGCTGTGAAGTGCAAATCGGTTTTTGGGCGAAATTCGTCTCCTGTTTCGTCCTGCCAGTCCAAGCGATGCGACGGACGGTGCGTCCCGACTAAGAAAAAAATGTATTCAAATAATTTGATATCTTTAGCAAAATAAATTCATGAACTCAAATTCGAATTCGTTTATTCATGCCAATAAACACAATTATGTTTACAAGGGTCATGTGGTACATGGTAACAATTGAACGAGGGTCATAAAATATCTTATGCCGTCAAAATAAGAGGAAACAGTTAGGTAGTTTGAAAAGCAATAAACCGGTAGCCTTATTCCTGGATTAAGTACATTTCTTGTCTACTGTAATAGGTAGATGGAGGCGATGCTACCAGAAATGGATGTGTGCGATCAATAAACAAACCACAAGATTGAACTGCGGTGTCCAATGATTTTTGTATTGGGTTTTTTATTGCCTTACTAGAAAACTCTGTTGGGTATATGATGAGGTTTACTAGAACTTCACAGCTTGTTGTGTGCCTTCTTCTACAAACTTCACCAAATCTAGACGCTGTCAACATTATTCTCCGATGAAGGCGCCACAAAGTACAGTCCTGTAATTTGGTGACTTGTTCGATCTGAAAAATCTCGTCGTCACTTTTTTTAAGTTTCCTTAAAAATTCTTGCTTAGCAACCTCCAAATCAATGTCGTTCATGTCAAGTTTTTGACAGAATTCGCCATAAAACTATTCATATTCTTTGAAATTGCTATCCGAACTGTTAGTTATTTTTATATCAGCTTTTTTTGGCCTGAGTTTCTTTTCAAGATTCTTGCGTTTGAGTCTTTGTTCCATCTTAGCAATAAGCGAGGTTGGACTAAGCTTAGAACGCAAATGTATTTGACCACATAGACAGGCCGCTGGGTATTGTGGCTCAGTACAGCTGCAGCACATCTTCCGTGGTATGACCTCTTCTTGCAATAATTTATTCGTTTACTACCCAATGTATTTTGCGATTATAGAGTTGAACTGCTCCACACTATTGTTGACGTCGTCATGAATTAAACTCACTGCATTCGTAATTAAAATGGTCGCATATGACCTTTTATTGTCCATTATCAACCTTGATAAAAAAAGGCACTCAAGAACAATCACAACAACAAGAGTACAGCACAACAATTCAACAACACAATATTGACGAACAGTAACAAGGGGAGAAAAATACTAAATGATCACTTGCTGAGTACCAAAATAGGAAACGATTTACAGGCTAGATCGCTAATCGAAATCCGACTCTGTTATTATAAAAATTTACCTTGGTATGAACCCGCGGTCATCCTTTCCTCTTTTAAAGTAGCGCCGAGACCCTCTAGGGCCAGCCCACCCTCGTTTCCTTTTCACCCCCCCCGCTACCTCAGCAAGTGGTGCTCGTGATTGCATTCGCCCCGTTAATCTGTTATGAAGCCTCAGCGAAAAAAATGAGATAGCAAAGTGGACATTCGGAAAAGTATGTCAAAATTTGTAAGCATATCGAGATTCTAAACAGTTCTCAAAAGTATTCATTCAATTACATTTTTGAGCACTGCATGTTATGACCATTCCTGCTTTCTAGAACTATTCCCGAGAGTTGTTGTTGCTTGGGTTCAGTAAAGATATGATATTTGACGTAATGAGAGCATACAGTATGCTCAGTACTTGAATGGAATACTGATTTACAGCTTTCCATATCTAAAAAAAAGCTTATATTTTTACAGATGTACAAGGTGATATATCTATATGATTGTGCTAAAATGTTTGCACGATAATAAAATTACGTATGAGTAACATAAAACTGAATAGACGGTTGAGATACTCAGGACCGGTCTTGGTTTCTTTCACTTCTAATGAATTATCAAAATCAACACCTTTTAAAATGAATATGGAAATGTTTGCTATGCACAAAAATGGCTGCTGCTTATTAACTAAAAAATTGGAATGGTCCCGCCCCTCTTGTTTTTTCAGCTAAACATTTCAGCGGTCTATGTGACACAAAACTCAGAATTTAAAGAGTTATAAACTTGAGGTCATTAACATTTCACAAAATAATGCTAAGAACTGAATTAAAGCTGTTTTGGAAACACAAATTTCCGGTGTTGGGTTCAGTTTGTTCTATTTACCTGTATTTTATTGAGTGCAACGTGTTGTAAGTTATACCCTGAGTTTATTATTTTGTAAAAAATCGAATACATGATATTAATGAAAGGAAAAATTAATCTGTATGTTCTACCGACTGATACCGTATATCATAAGTTCTGCTTAACCAGGAAATGGCATTTAATATGCAATACCACTAAATTTAACCTATCAGACCAGCTAGAAATTAGGTTAATAATACTTAAAAGGTAGTACGTCCCGACTTTTAATTGTATGATGTGATATGTGTGCATTGTGTAATTATTTAAATATTATATTGCGGTGGTTGGGGGTCCGACACTCACATTTCTTTACCTTACCGCAACAAGGGTTGGGACGAGGTGACAACACCTTTCATTAAAAAAGTGGCGCATAATAGGCACTGGAGGAGGGACCGGTATGCAGGGTGCTGTATACCCCGCAAATTCGTGATTGCTATATTTTGATGTATTCGGCCGCTTCTAGCAGCTCTTTTGACATATTTTGGCTTCAGTTTGCTGCCACTTGTTAGATCAGATCCTGCTGAATTGCATTTACCACATTATTCTTAACATTTTCTAGAAATTCTGGAAATACGTGGAAAACTTAGTCCGCTATCGGCGCCTTTATTTTGATCGCTCCACTTTGTTGCACTGGAATATCTCAGTAATATCTAATATTTGGAAAGCGGTGCCCAAGCGGTACCACTCGAAGATTCCGGCTACCGATGGTTCAATATCTCGCAAGGTCAAATTTGCGATTTTTTCTATTATGAAAGTGTATTGAAAGTAATTCGATTAGTTATTTTGCAATATTTTGGCATTTCTTTGGGTCCAGTATGATAACAGTACTACCCTTGTCTTAAGACCAAAGCACGAGTGCTCCATGTTTGAACGAAATACCTATATTTTCCATGGTATCTTCTAGAAAATTTGAAAATACGAAGAAGAGCGCGTTAGCCATAAGCGCTATCACGTTCGTTCCGGCATAGGAGGTCTGACGACCAGTGAACCCTATTTCACGAGTATCCATAACGCTACTGAGGTAAACAACTGATCAGCAAGTGACATTTTTGTGTTAGTCTGCAACGTTGGCGATAATGGATCGGGTATAACTCTAGTAAAACTTG